GAAGGTATGGTACATATACACAATGGAATATTACTCAGCAATCAAAAAAGATAGACTCATGCAATTTGCAGCAACATGGATAGAGCTGGAAGGGATCATGCTCAATGAAATAAGTGAGAAGAAAAAAGTAAAATATTGTATGGTTTCACTTTTAGGAGGAATTTAGGGGGCCCTAATAAGGGATCTGGAAAAAAATAGCAATAATAATAATAAAACAAAACTAGCAGTCAACCATAAATAAGAGACATTCGGTGAGGGAGGGGGAGGAAAAGGGATCAAACAGGGGAGAGAAGAGCACAGGGACTATGGTGATGGTTCACAGGTGAACTGGTGGTGGGGATTTTACGGGGAATACACAATGATGCAAAAGACATAAACAAAAAAATTATAGCTGCTGAAATTGGAATATAATCTGCAGCTTGTAATAGTGTAGAAGTGTCAGTCTCCTGTTTTTGATAACTATATCATACATACATATGTATAAATGGTGTTATCATCAGAGGAAGTTGGAGAAAGTGTACACTGTGACTATACTGCTTTTGTTATTTCCCTTCAATCTAAATTATTTAAAAGCAAAAGGTTTTAAAATTTTACAACAGTAATAGCTAATTACTGAATATTTGCTGTGTGCCAAGTTTATAGATATTCACTCATTTAAATCCTCACAACAACCCTAGAAGGTTGCTAGCACTTATTATCCTCATTTCTCAAATGAGGAAAATGAGGCACACAGAAGTTAAATATAGTCATGCATTCCTTAACCAATGAAATTTCAGCCCGTAACAGACTGTGCAGGATGGTGGGCCCAATAAGCTGCACCATACAGCTCAAGTGTGAAATAGGCTACACCACATAGGTTTTGTTTTATTACATGCTGTGATGTTTACACAATGACCGAATCATCTCATGACACATTTCTCAGAAAGTATCCCCACCATTGGGCCTTCCTGGTGGTGGAGAGTTTAAGTCTCAGTGCTATCGAGTTATTGCCAGCCACTGGGGCAAGAGTTCAATCCCTCGCCAGGGAGCTGACCCACATGGCACAGCAGACCTCTCCTGTCTCGCCCGCTGCTCCCCTCAGCAGTGTATTTTAGTAGATTCGCCTGTTCTGCTCCCCACCCTGTCTCTGGTGAATTCTCTTACCCCTCCACCCTGCTGCACCTCTGCCTACACTCTAGTTCTTGTATGCATAAATAAAATAAATCTTAAAATAAAAAGAAAATATTCCCTTCACTAAGCAGTGCTGATGGTAATCTACCAAAAGATTCCACAGCTCATAAGCAGTCAAGATTTAAATCTACACGGATCAGCTTTAGTGACGATGTTCCTGAACACCAGGCTGTTCTATGGCTCATGAATCATTACCATTTTAGAGGCCAGAAAACTCTGAGCACTGTCTCAGGGCTCCCAAGGCCCCCAAGGCTCTCGAGGGTTCACAGCTGTAGACTGAACAGCACTGGTTCAGTGTGTTCACACAGTGAACTGGTTCACTATGTTAACACAGTGGTTCACTGGTTCACACATAGGTTGGTGATTTGGGCGAGTTTCATGTGGTTGTGGTTGGGAGCCAGGCGGCACTGAACAGAGACATGGCTCAGCTGTAAGAGCAGAGAGAGCAAGTGTCACTGGCTCCTTTGGAGACCAGCTGCAAGAGCGGAGATAGGTGGGGTTTCTAGCAGAGAACAAGAACTTTTCTAACATCTACAAATCTGAGCTAATTTTTGGCAGGGAAAGAATAACAAAGAAAAATCTGAAATTACAGGAGAAAAGTTATTGGATGGCCTGTGGCCCTGAGGTGACAAATGGGGAATTTCATTCAGATCACACTTGGGACATTTTCCTGGAGTGCCCGATGCTCTGTACAGTGGGAGGAGGGCATCTGAGAGTGGGGTTCACCACCTGACGTACTTTGGGTAGGTCTGTCCCAGGCTGGTTGAGAACAGCCAGCCACAGAAGTCAGCAGTTATCTTCAGTCTCGTTTCTAAATCATCTCCCCACCTTATTTTCATGATTCCCCTTCAGGTGTGCATGTCTTCCTGCTCCAGGTCACTTCTGCTCAATCCAAGGCATGTCTAACTGTTACCATGCAATAGACTCACTGCCTGGTATGCATCGAGGCTGGTACCATGACACCAACTTTTGAGAAAAGGGCTTTATTGTTAGTTGACTAACAAGAAGTCAAGAGAAAACCTCAAACCTGCCTCCCAGATTAAGAAAGGAAATGAGATTTTTTTTTTAAGATTTATTTATTTTTATACAAGAACCAGGGTACAGGCCAGATGTGCAGGAGGGTGAGAGGATTCACCAGAGACAGAGCGGGGAACAGAACAGGCAGACTGACTGAAATACACTGCTGAGGGGAGCAGAGGGCGAGACAGGAGAGGTCTGTTGCACCATGTGGGATTCTTGCCAGCCAGCTGGGATCTAACCCATGCTGCAGAGGCTGCGGACAGCTTCACAGTATGGCGCTCAACCGCCTGTGCCACCAGGGTGGCCTGGAAATGAGATTTTATAGGTTTTGGAGAATGGGATTGAGAACAAAGGAGTTAAATTTTATTGGCGAAGGAGTGAGTTAAAAAGTGGACTTGACTGGTTTATTGAATCATTACAATATTGGTCCATATATGGAATTTTTCCAAATAACTAGATCTTCAGTGCTGATGGGCCCCTCCCCTAAATGCTGTCTGGGTGATGACAGTATGGAGAATGGGGTTCTGTGCTGAGCTGTTTTACCAACAGTAGGTGAATTTGGGCCAGTGTAGTTTCTTCTGCTTGTTAAATAGGCTTCTAATCTAAGTCTGTGGAACAGATCTGACTGGCCACAGATGGGTAAATTCATCAGCTTTCCTTTGCTAAAAATAAGAAGGCAGTTTTCAAAACCCTTTCAGTATTTACTTATAGGTAGTAATTGCAAGGAAACATGTTTAGGTTTTGTGTGTGCATGCAGACAGTTCAACCACATTTCTAGTAATTAACTTATCTTTATCATGAGAAAGGCTTAATCAAACATCTATGAGGCAGCCTAGTTTTCAGGAAACTAGAAGTTGCATGTTTTGGTTAGTTAGCACTACAATTATTTTATTTTTAAAGATTTTTTTATGCACACAAGAACTGGGGTACAGGCCAGAGGTGTGGGGGTCAGAGGACTCATCAGAGACAGAGTGGGGAACAGGACAAACTGACTGAAATACACTGCTGAGGGGAGCAGCAGGTGTAACAGGAGAGGTCGTTAGCACTACATGTTTTAATGTGTCCACTTTTTCTAGAGGTTGCCTTTGATTTCAAATTGATAGCTTTTGAATATAGTTGCCTAGATGTCTGCCTTGCACTATTTAATCACATCCCCACTATCCTTGGCTTCTGCTTCCTCAGCTTCACCAGTACTCTATTTGCATGTCAGGATAGAAGCTTCTGCCTTGTACTCTTGTCTCTTTCACTTGGTGAACCCTTTTGGGCAGGGACTACCGTATTTACCTTGGTTGTATCCTTCTCAGTCCCCAAGCACAAAGCCTCGCATCTAGCAATCACACAATAAATTCCTACTCTATAATCACAGTATTGCAACATAAATAATAGGTCTGAATATGAGTTTGTGGGCTTAGTTACAATTTCTAGGCAATAAATAATCCAAAAGACCAGTGTTTTCTCCCTGGGAATGTTTAGTCACTCATGGAAAGAAACCAAACCACCCAACTGCTTGTAGGTAAATTCACAGCAAGAGTCATTTGTTGTTTTATGTGTCATCAACTAATATTTATTCCTTAGATTCTATATTCACAACTTTAAACCATTAAATAAAACCACCTACCAATCTGAAATACTCAGAGGGTGTTCAGAAGGAAGGATGGAGATTTGTCCACAGACTATTCTTGCTATTTTCCTTTGCAATGACAGTAATACAATCAACTATTCTCCATGAAGAAGGTGAATTCCAACTAACATCTAGTGCATAGACTAGAAATATGCATTGTAGCCACAAAATCTAGCTGTTGGGGTCTTAGGTAATTATTTGTGCTTTTTTGGATTTTGTGCCTCTTCATATATATATGAATAACCAAAAATTCATTTTACACCTGTCTCTACTTATCTCAGTTTTTGTGTGAATCCAATGAGATCGAAATCTAGGACAATGAGCTATAAAAATATAATGTATTCTCTGCAAATGTTAAAAGGAGAGCTTCCATTAAAAAAATCAAGAGAGAATAATTAAGTTTCAGCTTATTGCATGATTATTCTTTAGGCCATCATTTGGGCAAGATAAGCCATTAGTCATCAGAACCACTTACAATATGAAAACTGAAGGACCAGCCTTAAAAAAATTGTGTATCATAACAGTACAGAAAACTGAAAGTCCTACTGTCACAAGAATCCCAATAACTGGAGGAAAAAAAAAACTGAAAGTATACTGGACAGTCAAGAGAACAAAAATTTAATCAAACCCAAGAGAGAAACAGAAACTGCCAGACTATTTTGTAGATCAGAGAACTCAGTATTTTCCTTATCTAAAACACTCAAAAGTCTAGGTGGTGGAGGTTATAAAAATATTGTCAGATATACAACCTATCATTACACAAAGAAATACGGCAACTCAAATGTCATTCATAAATACAAAATTTTATTTGCACTTCATTAGTGTAGAAAGACCACAATGCTTTTCATATCACAACACTCAAGACACCCCAAGTTATTCAAATACATAATTACTTATTTACCATGACTAAACAAAACAGTGTAGTTTAATAAAAGATATACCAAAGATAAAGTTCACAAATTCATTATCAGACCAAAAGAAAAAAGGAAAAAAAAAACAAAAAAAAACCACAGTCTACGCTTAATAGGAATAAGCTTCACCATAAAGGGGAGAAGTTTTACTATTACAAAGGTATAGAATGTTTAGGCAAATAGATGTATGTTCTTTGATATAGTAAAATGTATCTCTTTAAAATTCCTTTAAACAGGATTTGTTTAGAACAGCAGCGTTGTTTTAAAATCTTCTATAGTTTCAAAACCACTTATTTCTTTATTGAATCTCTGTAGTTCTTAAAAGCATAGGTACATCTATTAGGAAACCATGAGAGACTCTGTGGCCTCAGGACCAAGTCAAATCCTACCCTCTAAGTATAATATCCTATCATTACATAACAGTAATAAATAACCTTCAATGACAGCTATGAATGGAGTTTTGCTTTGTGCCAGAAATACCCCAATATTTCAAAGATGCGATAGCTGGGGGAAATGTCCTGTAAATAAAGAAAACGCACTTAAGATAGCTTTTTTCCAAAAAGTCTTTAGTTTACAAATTTTCTTTAAAACAGTAAGCAAAGCACCACGTTCTTTCTTCTTATCAGAATATCTTTTGTCCTCATAATTAACAAGGACAATTATATTATTTATTTCAAGAAACATTATACCTTTCATTTCTCCCATTCTTCATATTAGAAGTACTACATTTCCCAGTGTGCATACACTAGACCCTGGGATAATGAATGAAATATAGTAATTTGGAGGGAAATATGTGATTTTTATAACCAAAACTTACCCAGTATTGCATATTTGCATATTTACAAGTTAGTGTATAGCTCTGACTTGGATTACAAAGTGCGAAAGGAAAGTTTCAAAATGATTGTAGTGCAGAATAGAACATCTTCCCCTTTCCAGGAATCATTTCCACTTTGTCTCCAAAGTAGCAAATCAACAGCATCGGACGTGTGGTCTTGGTGGAGGCAGTTCTGGTGGAATCTCAGGTTCTGGTTGTAATGAGAGGATACTATTGGACAACTCATTCCTCAAAATATCCAGAGGCATCTAAGGACAGAGTAAAAATAAATACATTGAGACAACAATTTATATATAAGTGCTTTGCAAATTGTACAGTTATATAAAGATCTTTATATAAAGATTTCTAATCATCCGAGTTCAACTAATCGGTCAAATATTAAGCTGAAAAATAAAAAACCAGGTTCAAGTATCATGTCCAACATGAATACTAGTCAGCCTTCTTCATACCTTTTGGCAGAAGAGACCAGACGGACCTCATAAACATGTATTTTCATAGAACTCAATAAAATGAAAATTTAATGCATTAATAAATAATAAATGTTTCTCTGTTCTCAATATTAAAACACATCTGAAGGGTGTGATCCCATACCTCTAAATCATATACAGTGTTGCTAACCAATGTTAACTCAAAGAAAACAGTTAAAAAAAATAACCTTTCTTGGAAATCATATTAAGCTACCAGTTTACATTAGAGGCTTCCAAATTATGTTTGAACTGAGCAGATTATATGTAATAAGAATATACACTTGAAAGTTCTAACTAAAATCTCTGAATGCAAATCTAAAGAAATTGTTGCTGCTCAATAAACCAACTTTGATTTCCAGCAACTTTCCCATGACTCAGCACCACGAAGAGGCTAAGGGGTAACGAGGAGGCTGCTAAGGCAGAGCACCAGGGGGCAGGAAGGGCCTCCACTTAGCCAAGGGGTTGGCATACTCTGCCAGGTCTCCACTGCCTGTACCAAGCTTGATTTTTGTGGAAAGAATAAAAAAAAGAAAAGCAAATGTCAAATAAAACAGCCCATTTTTATGCCTTCTCTAATCATTTCACCAAGCCATACTGAAAGCTAAGCAGAAACACTGGACACCCAGTCTGCAGACACTGGCATCCCAGGCGGGAGAGTGCCGTGGCGACTGCACTGGGCACCTCTTCTGGGGTGAGCAACTTCACCTGGGTCAACCAAGAAATAATAAAGGAACAATGAACAGGTTTCAGATTAAATACTTTCAGGAAGTAGATTCTTCTTTTTTTTTTTTTACCTTTTTCAGAATGTCATCAACAAGTTTCAGAAAGATTTCATCCACATTGAAGTTATCCTTGGCACTTGCTTCACAGAATCGCATCCCAGTTATCTGCTGTGCAAACTAAGAAAAAAAAAATTATTTTTCCTCTGTGTGGGCCTAACACAGACTATGCACGAGAGCCAGGGCTAGGGCTATCCCAATCTTCTGGGTTTCAGGGCCAAGGGCAGGGGTGGGAACAAAAGTCTGTAATGTCCTGTTGATGCTCAAATACCAAGTTCATAGGTGTAGCAAGTACCTACATTATAAGTAAATAACAAAACAAAATCCCAAGATGGTATTGGGAGCTCTAAGTTAAGTTTCTAAAACTGTAAGGTAGCTACCATTTAAAATGCAAATATCCTTGATTCTACAGGTAAGGTTAAAATACACTAGAATAGGAGAAAATCATTAAAAAATTTTAAATAAAAACTGTCAGGTTAGGTAATGCAGTTTTTACTAGTGTGGTTCTTTTTCTCCTTTTTGAAATGAATTTAAAGGAGCAGGAAGTTTTTAGAAAAGCAAACAAATGAGAAGGACTGAACGGTAGCTGTATAATTACTTCATAATTTAAACAATAAGTAATTTATTAAAAGAAAAAACTCTTTCAACCAGTACATATAGAGTTCAGGAACTGTGACATCTCCCCTTGCTTCTCTTACCTTTTCACCTTGCTGTCTGGTGATTTCTCTGTCAGTTTCACAGTCCAACTTATTTCCAACTAAGAGAAGTTCTGCATCTTCTGAGGCATACTGTGAAATTTTAAAAGAAGCTGAATTTCAAAGATGGGCACTGTCATATACAACAGGAAATGTAAACTAATCCAGTGTTTTTCACTCGTTTAGTCATTTACTCCACACATCTTTGAGCACCTGCTCTGTCCCAGGCAGGACTGGTTTCGCTGGTGAGGGAGACAATTCTTACAGGGCTCACAGCATTAAGAAAGCAATGTGGAGGGCCTCCCCAGTGGCGCAACGGTTGAGCACTGGGTTGCGAAGCTGCCCATAGCCTCTGCAGCACCGGTTCGATCCCTGGCCGCCAGGCACGGGTCCCACATTGTGCGCGGACCTCTCCTGCCTCCCGCTGCTCCCCTCAGCAGTGTACTTCATCAGTCTGTCTGCTCTGCTCTCCGCTCTGACTCTGGTGAATTCTCTCGCCCTCCCGCGCTTCTGACTGTACCCAGTGCTTGTATAAATAAATCTTTAAAAAAAAAAAAAAAAAAAAAAAGCAATGTGGAGATAAACAATGTTCTTAGCCTGTGATCAGTAAGTCCTCAGAGTCTATCCTATGGAAATGATTCAAAACACAGGCAAAGCTTTCTACACTTCAGATGATCATTAATTGGAAGGAAAAAAAAAAACCCTCAAAGTTCAACAAAATACATGAAGAAATGATTTAAAAGCACGCAGTCATAAAAACTGCTTTAGAAGAACATTAATATGACACAGGAAGGACCTTGTGATAGAATCTTTAGAATGAGCAAGATATAAAATTCAATGGAGTATAGATCCAATTTGGTTTTTCAGAAGAGCAGAACCATCAAATCCCTTTTGTGTGTGTGTGTGTGTGTGTGTGTGTGTGTTTTATTATCCAGATTTACTGTAAGAACGAGGTATCATGAATTTCATAATTGGGAAAAACAAACTCCATGTTTAAGTTAAAAAAATATATAGGCATAATAGAAATTTTCTCTTTAAAATCTTTTGACTATCTTGTTTCATTCTGTGCATTCTACAAAATTATTTGAGAAAGACTGCAGCAAAAGGCATCTGACAGTGTGACCCTGACCAGGTCACTCAGGACGAGAGGTCCTGGTCTCTTAGCGCAGGTAAGGATAACGGTACCCCCTGGATAGGGCTGGTGTGGAATGGAAACAGTGTGTGGAACATGTAAGCACTCAAGAATAAGACCAGACCGGTCTCCCACAAAAGGGTAAAAAGCAAGAGCAAAGTACCAGAGGGAGGTGAGCATCTGCTCTCAAGGTCTCACAAGTTGGAGAACCTAATGGAGCCCTCATGGTAGAGCCATTGCCTTTCATTTTATTTTTATTATTTTTTTTAAGATTTATTTATTTATGCATACAAGAACTAGAGTACAGGCCAGAGGTGTGGGGGGTGAGAGGATTCACCAGAGATAGAGCAGGGAGCAGAACAAGCAAAAGGACTGAAATACACTGCTGAGGGGAGCAGCGGGCAAGACAGGAGAGGTCTGCTGCGCCATGTGGGTAGCTGCCTGCCCGGGAATTGAACTAACTGGTGCTGCAGTGGCTGCAGAGGCTGCAGATAAGTTCATAGGCTGCGTCTTAACCACTTGCGCCACCAGGGAGGCCCTGCCTTCCATTTTAAATTCATTCCATTGGTTCTGAAAATTTTAGCCCTTTTCAGAACCAATGTAATGGTTGATTTCTAATTTCCTCTGTGGATTCAGCAGTGAGGACACCAGGACCCCTGAGTGACATGCATCACAGCCAGCCAGGCATGGGGCCAGCTGAGTGCAGGTCTGGGTCATCTTGGTAACACTGGTCACCCTGGGCCTAAATGCATTTTCAGGCACATATTGATAACATGCTTGGTAAAATTGGCAAACCAACATTCTCCAGCATTATGTCACAGATGGATTTAATATAATTTGCAAACAAAATCCAATTCTAGTATATTGTGTGTTGATTAGTCAAAGGAACCAAACATCAACTTATTGCATGAGTTGAAAATGTTGAAACTGTATTCTACATTTCACCCCCAAATGCTCTGCCTCCTAAATGTGCATTTTGGGTACACATATCTTAGGAGTACCAACACTTTCTAGTACCCATAGGTACAGGTTATCTGTTTTGTCAAACCAAAGGAATCAAAGAACATCTGTAATTTGAGGGCAAATGTCCAGCAGGTGATCGGAGCACTTGGACTATCCACAGGCACCATGGAGAAGGTCATTTCCTTGAGGCTGTTATTCTATGAACAATCACAAAATGTACGTTCAAGAGAACTTTCTGGAGAGGCAAGAATGTCCTATGCCTAATTCCACAGAAATAGCCTGACATCACAGAATGAGCAACCATGGGCTTGGAAGTCACAGTGTAGGATAGCAGAATAAAAACCGTGGTTTTATTATTTATAAGCTGATTTTGGATAAATTCTAATTCTTCTTTGCCCCATCTTAACACAGGAATGTATATCTACTTTGGGCATTGTAATATGGACAAAATGATGTTCAGCATAAAAAAGCAGGCTCCATAAATATTATTCTCCTTCTTCCTTTTATAGGGATTACCACTCACAAGTAAAGAGTTCACTTCTGAGAGAAAAAATGCCAACACCTACCTTGTCAATCATCTTCATCCATTTTGGCAAATCATCAAACGTCTCCTTCTTGGTGATATCATATACTAATATGATCCCCTTGGCACTTCTGTAATAAGCTGAGGTAATGCTGTTGAATCTCTCCTGCCCTGCTGTGTCCCTAAGAAATGGCAGCAAAAATCAGTTCCCAAAACAACCAGAGTAAGCACCCCAAATTCCAATGCAAACAGGCTGATTCCTTCTAGTGACCAGAGAACCCTGTCTATGCATATTCATTATTACAAGAGGTAGCTACAGGAGGTAGCTCTTCTAGCTAATTATACTAAAACGAAAACAAGACATCCCAATTTCTTGCAAATCAAGATTTTCAAAGTAAGAAAATGAGGACTTTTATGGCAAGAAGATAGTGATGATGAAAGGGGCGAAAGATAATGTTAATCCTGCAGCAATTTAAATAAAGATGCTAAAAATCCTATGTATATAGCAAAATCTTAGTATTTTTCCTAATGAAATGTCTTTCCAATGTGAAAATTCATATATAGCTTTAAGCATAAAAGTAAATTTTGGCTTCTTAACTCATATCTAAGGCGCTCACCTTAACATTAGCTTTATAATTTTTTGGTATTCTAGAACCATAAATATAAAATAATTTAATAATATATATTAAATTAAATGCACTTGAGCACATTCTTTCCCTTCCCCCAAATCATAAACTTTGTTCTAGAAGGATCTAACTCCCCAATCTTCCACATTCTAAAGGGAACTGATATGGAGGGGATAAGAGGAAAAGCAAAGATGTACAAGGAGTTAGATGGCGTAAGTCAAACTGTTCTATTTTTAAGCCATAAAGTATTATATTTAGGTCAGTATTTCTAGGTATTTTGCTTCTATAAATTGGCATAATAATAGGTATATGTGCTATCATTTCCTCAAAAGCACTGATGCAAACCCCCTCTGGGTGGCCAGTGGCTGTGCTGTGGAAAGCTCTGTGCCAGCAAGGAGCAGCAAATCACCCAGGGCACTGAGCATAAGGCTTGGCTTCTTTGGAGAGCTCAGTTTTTCTGAATTGAGCTCAGTTTCCTGACATGTAGCAAATGTAACACAGAGGCAAAAGGCAGAAACACAGAGAAAATGCACAGATGATAATTCATATTTAAGCTTTCTTTTAACTCTCCCTTAACCAACGTTGTTGCTTAATGTCTGATTTTGCTAACAAGAATACTTCCCTCAGAGAATATACCTAGTGGGACAGAGGATCTGAAAATACCTTTTGGCAATGGTAGAGTTTTATAGCTTTGTTGAGATTAGATCTGCCACCAAATTAGTTCACTTTAGTTGTGTATCATAAACAAAGTTTCCTGGCAAAGACATTTTCACATATAGTAAACCATTTTCGCTTAGTTCTAGAGCCTGTAAGAACCCCTGTCAACCAGGGTCCACTCCATCGCATGCTTGGCCCACAGTGGCTATCGACAAAGGCTGATGCTATTTCAAGGCATAAAAAGACCTTTATTTTCTGACCTAGAACTGCCAAAGATGGGAAAACTTAATACGATAGATGGGACTGAATTCTTCATAATTTTTACCCACTTAAATGCTGCACTAAAGGAACTGACTCAGATACCACTCATTTACATTAGGAATTAATGAATACCATTATTTCTGGAATCCCAGACAATTATTACTATAATTAATATTTTCAAACCAAAAGAGTTTATCAGAGCATAGTTTCCCTTCCTATCACAAAGATTACTTGTTTAAATTAAGCCTTGGGCAAATATTTTTAAAGTTTTAAGAAACAGTCTGTGCAGTCTGAATATTGATAAGAAACACTATCTTTCCTTTCTTTAAAAAGCCCAAATAACACTTATTTCTACACTGAAAATGTGGTTAACATGACATAGCAGGGTTCCAAACTCAAACAGCAATCAATATACGACCTTCATCGAGCCTCTCTGTTGTTATACACTACCTTAACATATCTTTTTTTTTTTTTTTTTTTTTTTTTTATTATAGAGGCATGCTTTCTTTATTTGTTTGCTGGTTTGTTTGTTTGTTTTTGTTTATACAAGCACTGGGTACAGTCAGAAGCACGGGAGGGTGAGAGAATTCACCAGGGCCAGAGCGGGGAGCAGAGCAGGCAGAAGGACCGAAGTACACTGCTGAGGGGAGCAGCGGGCGGCAGGAGAGGTGCGCGCCATGTGGGACCCTCCTCCGGTGGCCGGGGAGCAGCCGGGGATCGAACCGGCGCCGCAGAGGCCGCGCGCAGCTTCGCAACCCAGCGCTCAACCGCTGCGCCACCGGGGAGGCCCAACATATCTTTATTCTAAGTAATTTTAATCTTTTAGCTAGACATCAAAGTCGTTCACACTCTTTTCTTTTTAGGAAGATGCAGAATCCTATTTCCCCTCTTTATGTCCACAAAGCTGAATTTTGACTATAATGATAAAGAGCTGATTTCTAGAGAGCCACCATTTATTAATGTCAGTTAAACCATCATTTTGCTAAGCTAGCATGTAATCTTATTACTTTGGATATAAATTGAAAAATTCTCACAATTCTGCTTAGTCATAAAACAATTTTTCAAAAATTTCACCATTTTATTCTTTGTAGTTAGTATATCCAGTTAAATGACACAATTAATTTGCAGAGTAGGAGCCCTTTTTCATGTATAAAATGCTCCACCTCTTTAAGGTGGGGAATGAAACGAAACTAGCTTGATGCCAACCTAATGATGGTTAAAATAAGTCCGAGGGAGACAACAAACAACGGGAATGAAGAGGCCCTTAAAGAAGGCATTTTAAATTGGTGTTTGCCTAATGGTAGGAGACACATTTCATGGCTTCAACAGTGACTCTAAGGCAGCTTGATACACTTGATAAGGCATGTGAATGTAAACTGATGAAAGCATATTCGGTTGACACATTTTATTTTAGATATGAAAGTTTTATATACATGAAAAAACATTTTAAGTACAGAGCTAGAAAAAATGGTCCTTCTTGTGACCACAGATAGTCAAAGAAAGGAAATATGTGGCAATCACATAAAATGATATAAAAACAACAATGTGATCTGCAGCTTTTGATTTTGTAAACTCTGTAACAAATAATGTGGTAAACAATATTTTCTTATATTAGTTTTATCAAGAAATCACTAAGAAAAAAAATGCCTTATTTTAACGAGACACCTCTAGGGAAAATGATGGGCAAAGCTTACATGAATTGAGTCTACAAAATCCGAGCAGAGGCTGCTGAGTCCCTTCGAAGTGTTTTTTCCAACAACACTGGCTCCTCCCATACTCTCAGCTGGGGACAGAACATAGCAGCAACAAAGAGCACAGCTCAGGGACTGCGCCCCACTCCCAAACAAGCCACATGTTGATGCTTTAAATAATGAACTGTGACCCAATACTTCTTTTCCACTTACTAGATAACAACAATGGAGAAAAAGGTCTTTTATGCTTTAAATACTTCAGAAGAAAAAAAAAATTGTTGCATATTACGTGATTAGTAAGTCCCTAATATTTTGTGGATGTTGAAAACTCCTTCAGGAGGGGGCATCCTTCTTCCTAACTTAATCACTGGGTTATTTCCTGTGGAAAACTTGTAATCAACCTTTCAACAAATTCAATGAATCTCATTTTCCCTCCCTCAGTTAAATTCTTTGGTGATGCTGTGTAGTTTTAAAATTTTTGAGAATGAAATCTGAGGAGTGAAGAGTCAAGGAGAAGCAGGAGAGTTTTCTTAGGGAAAGCTTTATTTAATACAAGAGAAAATGGCTTCCAGTGTCCTGTGCATCCCCTGGGCTGCACTATCGCTCTTTCCCCCCTGAGTGGGACTCATCAGGTGGGACCCTCTGAGACCAGCCTCAAAGGCACTGCAGAGAGACACCAGCAGCATCCATTGTCACCAGCCAGTCTTCCCAGGCAGACTCCAGGGAAGCTCAAGACATTGGAACATACTTTTATAGTTCAGTTAGATAACTATTGTTTGCTATGGAAACTGAAACATACATTAAGTTATGTCTTTTTAGTTCATAATGTCATTATTTAAATGCTGCTGTCATGCACTAAGCAAGCTTTACAAACACTCTCATAATAACTACACTGCCTTTGAGGCCATCTCACAGTTTAAAGTATTTCTACCACAAATAGTGAGTCCTCTTAATGGTAGTCTTTACCTTAAAGAGTTTATACTTAGAAACAGCAGATCATGTGAGATACATTGTTGACATTTAGTTAAAAAAAATGGCGAGCAGAAACAGCAGATCATGTGAGATATATTGTTGACATTTAGTTAAAAAAAATGGCGAGCACCACACAAAAGACTGCTGCCTTTTCAGTCATGGGCTAGGAGAATAAGAAATAGCATTTTTTGGCTATTAAATATTTAGGAAATATTAATGTTTCATCATCAAGCCAAGAACAAAAATGCCAAAAACCAAAACCACGAAAGAGAACCACCCAACAAACCCCCCAAATCTTGAAGGTGGGATAAATAATCACAGATGACCAAATGAAGACATTACCTCAGACAAGCAATGCTGGTTCGGCTGCGGGTGTGCCCCAGACAGGGACACGGATGAAGGATGGAGGCATGGCACTAACATTCAAGCATTAGGTGACCGATGATGCCACAGGTGAGGCAGCAATTAACGCAGATGAAAGCACACACACACACGGTGGACACACACTCAGAGCGGAGGTGACCTGCCGAGAGGAGTTAGTAAGCTGAGTACGCAGCAGCCATGTGGCTGAACACCACGGGGCCTCTCAGAACACCTCAACAGTGCCACTTCCAAACCAGCACCAGAGACAGCATTTCTGCACAGACGGGTTTCCTAACACCACCCTTGTGCTGCTAAGCATCAAGCACAAGCTCCTGGCATGGAATACAACTGGTTAGGATGTGAGAAAGGGGCTCTGGAGTCATTTCCAGCTGGCATTAATGGGGTTTGTGTCCCGTGGCATTAAAACTAGGCCGCAAGGGTATGCAACAGCCCAGTGAGGTTCACGCTGCGCCACCAGGGAGGGCCCTGATCTGTCTGTTAGAGGTTTGCCCTGAAATTGTTAGGGACAAATCTGGTTAGGAATATATTGGACTTCCTCTGAATACTGTCAAAGTAACTTTACAATAGGATGATAAGCATTTGAGCAATCACTTTAGTGATGGTAGTTTTGATAATATCAAATGATTTGAAAGGAAGCATAAAGGCTCCCATAATGAACTTAACAGTAATAAAGAACATTAATAAAAATTAATGATAATGTTATTATTAAAGTAACATTCTTTCCACAACTCTGTGTGCAAATGGATTATGAAGTATGGAGACTCTTATCTAAATTCTCTCTTGACAGCAGCACTGTTCATATTATTTAAAAATGAGCAAATGAGAGATCAAGTGGGAGAGGCAAACCAGCTCAAACAGTTAATTTTATTAGACAAGCGTATGGACTGTTAAACACATACATACTATTAGTGGGTGCAGACTCTCCCACTTACCAGATCTGTAACCTAATTTTCTTTCCTCGTAGCTCTACAGTTTTGATTTTAAAGTCAACACCTGTAGATAAAACAAATGATAATGAAACAAAAACAAATACACAATTTGTCACAAAAAGAATCCTATTTATACATTTTTATAACGTCAGGAAAAAAACAAAAAATGCCCCTGATATCACTAAATCCCGAAAGGAAAAAGCAGAAGCACACCAGTATTTGTAATTATCAGCCATTCTTATGCTTCAGTACACAACCTGCTATGCTGACCCTGAACTATCTATCTAGCATTTGTTTTGCTTTTTTTTTTTAAAACTTTTTCTTTTTTTCTTTTTTTGCATAGAGGTGGGGTGTAGGTCAGAAGTGTGAGGGGGTAAGTGGGAGCGTGAGAGGATTCACCAGAGACAGAATGGAGAGCAGAACATGTATATTTACTGAAATACACTGCTCAGGGGAACAGCAGGGGAGACAAGAGGGGTCTGCTGCCCCATATGTGGGTTAGCCCCTGACAGGAGATGGAACTCAGGCCGTGGAGGTAATAGTGGAGGTAATAGACTTAACCAGCTAGGCCACCAGGGAGGCCCACATTTGCTTTTCATAATATAATCACAACCACATGTTCAGCATAAAACCATTTTAAATCACATTTAATAAGTTCATTAACAAATGAAGAATACTATCTTGGGGAAAGTCTTCTATAAAACAATGGAAACAGCTTTAGTCTGAATTTAGAAATTACTGCATTTCACTTTAGCATTCACAAAAAATTTAGGTAAATATAAACATGACTTACTTATTATACAATCTATATAATAAATTGGCTATTATTATAACCAATTTCCTTTTTTATTCATTTTTAAAAGCAAGTCAGCATGTACCATCATCCCATTCCAATTCAGTTCTTAAACCTTCAGATAATTTTTAAGAGCAAATCTTCATCTGTGTTACGTTATCTTACACACCTCTCAGAGATAACTTAAATTTATTTCAAAACATTTTTTACACAATTATCACAATTAAGAAAAGCGAAGCAATGAGACGCTGGCTCAATGTGAGGAGACCAAGCACCTTCCCAGCAGCCTTTTCCCAAGTGTTTCACAGGGCCGGGGCCCCACCCGCCAGCCTCTCACAGGCAGGCAGCACAGAGCTGGGAGCCGCTCCCAGGCTCTCCATCTCTCAGGGAACCCATGCAACACTTGGAAGTCAGATGATGTTCCTGAGGTGAAAGACATGTGACTGACTTTATAAATAGTAACGCACTGCAGACACCAATGCAATCCCAAAAGGCAAGTTTGCAACCTGGGGTGAGGGGCTGCAGTAGTGTACAGTCTTCCTCTATACAATAAAGGGAAGTGGCGTAAATGTAAATTTTCACAAGAAAATAAAGCCGGGCAACATTCTACTGTATTTCAGTTCTTAATCTTTCACATCAAACATAATTTCAAATGTCATTAAGCAAAAGTTGGTTAATTCAATTTTACTTTCAGTTCTGGGACTGATTTGCTTTTCAAAGCCAAAGGACATTTCTAAAACAGCCGTGTAGCACGAAGTGTGTTTATGCACAACCAGGATCTTCAGAGAGTTCCTTAGTGACTCCACGGCAAGAGAACAGCACAACTACAGTGATACAGCACAAGACAAAAACAAAAAACAGTCTGAGATATTCTGAATTTTAAAAGGCACAACACAATGACGAAATGCTGCCTTCCTGACATCAGCACAAAGTTAGGGCCTCGCCTTGTTACACTCTGATGGTGATTTAGAAATTACATCCACATTTTGTCATGACTGAGATTTCCCTTTTGTTTTCTTTGAGGTTTTTTTTTTTTTAATTTTAGTCAAGGGGGTTATAACTTTTGTAAAACTTGTCACAGCGGCTGCTACTATGTTGAAAATAACTGGCAGATGATACTTTCTTGTGGGCTCTGTTTCAAATCAACTAAAAGAATTCCTGAAACAGCCAGAGCAAGTAAGTTTCATTTTAACTAGGCTGCTTTCTCTGCTGAGAATTGCTGGGCGACTGTGTCAGACACCTTTTCATCTCACTTGAACAATTGTATCCAACTCTAGCAGTCCTATTGGTTACTTTTTGTAACCACAAAGTTTAATAAATAAAAAAAGGAAAGGGAATTAATAAAGTCTGGAAATAAGTGGTAATTTTATTACTTATAAATAAGTTACTAATTTTAACAGGGAAACAAAACAGATCAAGGGACAGCAAACAGAATTAAGAACCTTTTCAGTGAGCAGATAAGTGACAGTAATATCACTAACAACAAAAAATATCCAGTGGCTAAACCTAAAATTCCAAATAAGAAAACAGTTCATTAAAATAGTCCTCTGCCTTGAATGAAACGTCATTTGCCATATTTAACGATCACTAAGTAGCTTGCGGAAACTTACTTCAATATATGGCTTGAAACCATGTGCTTATATACAACCAACATTTCTAAAAACCTTACATCAAGTCAAAAACATCCCTTCATGTTGCTTATTTTTAATATTTGCACATATTAACAATTATAATAAAGAAAACAAGTCATCCACAGCCTCAAATATTCAGATTAGTTTTAGGAAAAGTCAGCATTAGAGCCAATGTTTATAAATAAAGGACTAAAGTGTGGCAACTTTATTTCCCGTCACAGTATTTGTTGAAAATCCCTTTTCCTACAGGTATCTTAACTGACAGGGGAAGCCATTAGCAATTCCTGCCACGCCACCCCCCATCCCCCACTGCCTAGACCTAGTCCTTGCCCTCTAATATCTTAAGTCACACTGTGCACCTGGCACCCGGCCAACAAGCACCTTTCTGGTCTGCTCAGAAATATTTGTCTTTGGTGATGTCCCATCTGAACCTTTTGACTGCCCCACACCTTACACAACTTCCTCATCTGTGTTACTAGTCTCGGACCTGAATCCTCTCCTAGCCCTTAAAGTCACATCATTCCTTCTTTTGGTCTCCCCCATGAAACCTGTGCCCTCTAGGGACACAATCACCAGCACCAAAGCCTAGGACTCTTCCTGGCACACAACAGCAATAAATCTGATGAATGGAAATCAGACTGCCCTGCTTCATCAAATACTGGATACGTGAGTAGAAATGCTGATTATTTCTGGAAAAAATTAGGCAAATGTAGGATTGCTTAGTAAACAACAAACAAAACATTTATGTAGCAGAGACACAGTACATGTTTTGAGGATCTAGGGGCAAAGCAGTGTAACAGAACACTGAAATGCAGGGTGCTTAGCACATACACATCACTCTAGAAAAGGACTATTTCACTTATTCTATAATTCCTATTATTGATGGCAAATCCTTAAAATAAGGGGTCATTTTAATATGTGTGTTTCCTCTCACTATACATACGTATCCCAGGGGATTATTATGGTAGCTGAGGTTTAGGTTACCACCAGTTCAATAGAGGCCCAAAAATATTATGTGCTACTAGTAAGATATTTTGAAAGAGATCATGTTCACAAGTATATTCACAATATAACAACAGCATATGGTTAAAACTGTTCTATTTTATCATGAACTATTACTGTTAATCTGTGCCTAGTTTATCATGTATGTATATAAAGGGAAACCATTTTTACATGGGGCTTTGTACTTTCCACTGTGTCAGGCAGCGAGGGGGGTTTGGAACATGTCCTAGTGTGGAAGGGAGTACTACATTCAATCACTTAGATGGGAGGTAGGCAACAAAAGTTAATTATCCTGGTAACATAACTGTGGCTTACCTTTTCTTAAGCTTACCAACATTATGGACGTCTTTCTGAAAAATCCTTTAATCACAAAGGACATGGGCCACAGGGCTATAATCTATCAATGGGCTTAGACTGTTCTATTTGAGTCCTAGTGTCTTCTTGACATTAATTTCCTTTAATAATGACAGTGGATATTTGTTATAAACGCTGTGCCTGACATCCAATCCAATGAGGTGGGTACTATTACCTCAATTTAAAGAGGAAAACACCAGAGTGGAGAGAGAGAGGACAAGGTAATTTGCTCTAAGGTCATAGCGCATACTCGTCAAGTGGCAGAACCTAGATTCAAATTTATACCACTGCCCACCAAGAAAGATTGTTAAAATAATCAGATAAGTGAAAAAAAAGATTAAAGTAACTTCAACAAGTGATCCAGAATCACCATAATCAAGCTGTTAAAGAACAAAGTTTACCTTTGCATTTGCTCTTCTCTGTATTTGTCTTTCATACTTGTGCTGATAAGATTTCTAAGTCCTCCTTAAGGCAAGACATTTCCAAACATTACTGTATTTCTTTTTGCTGGGCCAGGAGAAGTTATAAAAAGCTTCTTACTTCACATTCCTTTACAGCAGCAAAAATAACAATATGATCCATGCCTGTGATTACAGCCAATGGACTTCCTCCCCTTTTGTTCTCTGCTCACTCCCCCTCTACCTTCACCACATACTAGGAGTTTGTGTCACACTACGGATTTAATTTACTTAACACATTCAAGTTGAAGTATTTCATAGACTTTGAAATAATTCTCAAACAGTGGATGTGTTGTTAGTGGCACTTTACAGTAACTATCTTACATTGGCACAGTGGCTTTTCTTTTAAGAATATATCTTACACAGTATTATTCCATTTTTGACATAATATTTCTAGTAGGGAAGAGGACTTCCAGCAGTTTCACCATGTGAGGTTAAGTTAAAAATGTGTCAAGGTCACAGAGATGGGGGCAAATTTAACATTAGAAAACAAATACCCTGAACATAAGGCCTAAATACACCACCCTTCAGAAGAGTACATGACTCCTGCAGGAAAAGAAAAGTGTTTAAAGACAGTGCAAACTGGCTTTCAACCTATATTGTCCCCAGGAGGCAAACCTGAGACATCCTATTATTCAATATTATCTGATTTTGCTACTTAATCTGAGTTATGGGAATTAATGACAGAAACTAAGCACTGAAACTGTTTTTTATTGTTTTAGAAATAGTAAAATAACTGTCATTTAAAAAAGTTTATTGGGTCTGAGGATATCAAGTGTCTATCCTAAGCTTAATAAGATCTGCCTCTCTCACTCCAGGTTGGACA